TTGCATTGTGCATTCACTACCCAAAGTCAAATCTCCTTCTAAGGGGAAGCATGAAAAAGTAAAGTATTTCATACCTGTGTTGCCCAAAGTAACTTTAAAATACGACTTTGTTAAGTCCAAACTTAATGGGACTTTGAGAAGAAGAAACAAAAAGAGCATGGAAGTTGCAGTTTAGAAGATCTGATTCAGGTCTTAACTGATACTTATAAGCTATGGGACTGTGATTGTGTTGCATTTAATGTTTCTAAGTCTCAGTTTTCTTACTTGTCTATGGGAATAGTGATAATATGTAATCATAACACAGAATTATAATGTTATCAGGATTAAATGAGATAATGTACATGAAAATTCTTTGTAACTACAAGGAATGATGGTTTCCTATGCCACAAACACATTGTCAAGTGGTTTGATAGAAACATCCATACCAATGTGTCCAATCTGAGGGAGAAAATATGATTTTATTTCCACGGAGGGTTTCAAACACAAACCAATGTCTCTATACTTCTACTTGTGGATTAAAAATAAATATAGAACTCTCCATATACTCTATTTCTAGGTACAGAGAAATTGTAACTCAGCTATTGATATTCATATCTACATGGTTCGTCTGTTTCTATCATTTTGACTTATCACATACAACTGAAAGAAAACGGCATGGCTTTCTTTTAAAATAAAAATTAATGGATTATGTAACTAAACCAAGGATATTCTGATAGTGGACACAGCCTGGTAGTATGTAACTCTAGTTCTTCTACTACGCTATTTTGTCCAAAGACTTTTTTTAGACTCTTTTTTAAGACTCTTTTTCTAGGTTTTTTAAGACTCTTTTTCTAGGTTTATATCTGCCTTCCCACTACTCTAACTCTCTATTTCTTGATTTTCTTTGTTTTAGCAGACATAAAAGCAAAGATGGACTTGTATTTATTTTTTATTATGATTTTTTGTAACTGACAGCACTATAAGTGACTAAACTCTCTATTTTTTAGAAATATGATGTCCTAATGATGGTAGGCTCACACTTCCCTCCCTAGAAACTGGGTAATGTTTTAGTCTCACATTCTTCTAAATGTAAAATGTTCTCGACAGGACATGAGTTATTCTTCCAGTAATGGGGATAAAGTTTGATGTGAACTTCATTTCTTGCTTTGTTCACTTTCTGAACAGGACTCCATTTATAATGCAGCAGAATGGTTAGAATTATGGTCAAAGAAAATAATGGAATCAACTTGACTCAGTTATGTGCAAACCAAAACCTTGGATTTATCAGCTTTCTGATAAAAATACTTTTTAAGCATATCCTTAAGGTCATGTTCAGAAATAGCAACATGTGAAATTTGCCACAAGAGCATATAACACAAACTAATTGAACCATTTAATATGAAAAGACTGGGTATATGTGGGTTTGGGATGAGGGGTTTAAAAGCTATAATTATAGAAGAAAGAACATAATTCCAACAAACTACATCTGTATTATGAATAGAGGGAGCAACTCCATTGATTCTAAACTAAATTTTGTCATATCTGTATCTCCTCCCACCCCCGATATCCAGATACATAATCATAGGATTGAACTAGATGTGACCTTAGAGAAAACGAACTCTCATTTTACAAATGAAAGGATTGAAGCTGAGAGGTTAAATGGCTTTCCCAAGATAATATGGTCGAATAACAGCTGAGCTTCAATTTGAGGTTAGGCCTTTTTACTATATCACGGTGCTCTTTTTACTATATCACGCTGTCTCCTTTCATGTACTTCCTTATATTTATATCCAATTCCTCATTTATTTTAAAGATTGGATAAAAATTAAGCTATTAATATTTTCTCATGCTTTATATCTAAATAAATAGTGTAAGCTATAATGGATCACTTAGCACTGATTTTTAAAAAACTTTTCCTATCGGTTATTATCTTTTGACCTTGTTTGTAAATTTACATGCCATCACAAATCTTGTACACTCTGAAAGCAAATGTGGCATTTAGCTCTCTAAAAGAAATATTAAGATATAGTTCAAGAATACTTGAATGAAACAAATGTGGTCATCGGTTTTCCTTGGACATTTATTACTTTCCTTATTTATGCTTAAAATGAAAAACATACTAAGGATGAAACTGATAAGATTTTAATACTACTTAACCACTACAGAGTAAGTAGATCTAGGAATGTATCGCTTAACTATATTGCCTTGCTTTAGTCAATGCCACTTATAACATTCTATCATATAAATATTTCAAGACCATCCATCACAACAAAAATTAAATTATACGAGATCTCAAGAGGTCTTGAATTTGGAACTTGTTTTTATTAAAGATCTAGCAATTCTTTAACAGAACTTTCAATCACACTCCTAAATGGGCTGTCAATTGGAAAAGTAATCTGGTTTATCATTTTTTTCTTATTAAAACATTGAAGGAAAATATTTTTAAACCCAGTTTCTTCTCTGTCCTCAGCAGCATACATTATGCATCCTATGAAATTGGAAAAGGAGAGAAAACAATTTTCTCATTCTGTGGTTGAACCAATTTTAGAGTCTGGGGGTGTAGAACACGGTGTCCTTCACATAGGGAACATATAGACATACTTCCTCTACGATTACATTTTCTGAGTTCTTATTAGAAGCTACTATTACCTTACTAGAAGGTACTACACAAATATCTCTATATGAATTACTTTATTTAACATTACAACATGTTAGAGATGTGGACACTAGCAATCAGAAAGGTCAAGTGACTTCAAGATCACTCAGTAAGTCTGATTCCAAAATCTGTATGCTATAATAGTAATAATTATAACTGCAATAGCACCAAGAGCTAGAATTTATAGTGTTACCGTGGGGCTAGTACTGTTCCAGTACTTTCCATGTATTTTGAATCACTTGTCCTAATAGTAAACCGATGTTCTAGAACTTTTAATAACCCCGTTTTCTTCAGATGAAAGATTGAGTCAGAATATAAATAACCTTGAGCACACAAATTCCCTATATTTATTATACAAACCTATGAAAAACTTCCATGTGTAAGTCTGTAATAGGATGTTCTTTAAAAGATTTTAGAATGTCTTACCTTTGACTTTTTTTTTTTTAATAAGAGAAGGGAAAGATATTTTAAGAATCCAAACAATGATACTACAAGATAAGTGCATGCCAGTAATTTAGTTTTTCTATCATGATTCAGCATTATCTTTCATGTGTATTGCAAGATATAGTAAAGCCTAATTTGAAGCCATTTACGAAAGTTAATATTAATAGGTTTGAAAACACTTATATGGGGACTTATCAACATATTAAATATCCTGCACTCACAAAATATTATCGTGAATATCACATGAAGAAATTACTCTTATTGTTTCTCATAAACAAGCCTTATTTGTATATCTTCTTATTGTAATGAGGAACTACAATGATCATAATGTACCTACCTGCAGAAGCTTCCATCTGGTGTTCAGGTCTTCCTGAGTGTTGAGGTTATATGGTGACAGCTGAATGCCCAGTGTGGTGAGCTGGCGAGCAAGGTCGTTGACGTGGCTTACATTCTCTTTAAGAGGTGCAATTTCTCCTCTAAGTGCCTGTGTGAAATAGTCAAGGGTAAATTTGAAGATGAGAACATTTAAGGCAAAAAAATAGACACAAGGGAACTACTAGTTATCTTATTCTGTTTGGGTTGCAATGTCAGTGACATTTGCTCTATGACAGTAGTAGTATGACAAGGAACATTTGTTAATAGGATAATAATAATAACTAATATTTATTGAGCACTTCTTAGGTGCCTAATCCTGTGATGTGCTGTCTATACATAATCTGATTTTATTCCTACACAATAACCTTATGAGGTTAATAGTTGGAGAATTGTCATTTTTCACATCAGAAAAACTTGCAGAGGTTAAATTAAACCTTGCCCAAGTACCCATGGGTCAAAACTGAGGAACCTGGGACACATAGCCAGGTTTGTCTGCCTCCAGAATGCATATTCTTAACTATTATATACCTCTCACAAGATATTCTGGATTGGCAAAGTAACAGGAAAAATATAGTGCAGCTAGATTCTAAATTCTACTCATCTCACAACCAGAAATAGATTTTTTTAACAATAAAAAAATAAGCTCAGTCATAAAATATTACATTCATACTTGGCAAGAACAACATAATAGATTCATTTAGAGATTAGGGTACTGTGTCAAGTTCTAAGGATGACTTCCTGGTCTGGTATTTTAGTCCTTGTAGCAGTGACTTAAAAAGGCTCCCATGGGGCTTCTCAGCTGTCTCTAAAGCACTAGATTGGGATTTTCTGATGCAATACATCATGACAATCTGTTGAGCAGAAACCTATGCAGATATGGGGAGGATATTACCATGCATCATATCTACCCTATTGAGATGACATTTATGGATCTTTAACATGATGCATGATGTCCAAATGTTCCAATGAGCAATTTCTAAGGGCCAAATTCTCTCACTTAGGAGAACAGTTTGTGTAATATAATGTCTGTGCACAAGGACAGCATCATTTACTTGGCTGTATGTGCTGTTTTGACTTGCTTGATCTGGGCAGGTGTTATTTCTCTGGTTCACTATTTTGATTAAAAAATCATTGTTTACATTGACCTCATCTATAACCCTCTGATTCCCTTCAACTCCAAATGGAAGGAGCCAGTATGTACATTCTAAATAAGAATAGCATTATCCTCTCAAATCAACCTGAATATCTCACCACTAAAACATGGTATTATCTGGAGTATACGACTCATACATAGTTCTCAGATAACACAAGACATTGTGATAATCACTCTGCTGAACTCAAAGGTTTTTTTTTTTTTTAAAGTGGTTATTAAAAATACTGAAGAATCATGGGGATTCTTTTGGGAGCAATAAAAATAGTCTGGAATTAGACAGTTGTAATGATGGCACAACCTTGTGAATATAACAAACACTGCTGAATTGTATACTTTAAAAGTGTGAATGTTATGGTATCTGAATCATATAACCATAAAAATAAAAACAAAGAAAAACAAAAGAAACTTTCCTGACTGACCACACACATGCAAAAATGCATATCTGATGTATTGATCTTTATTCAGTTTTATGTCAATGGAATGTCATAGGAATCAATCTGAAACTAAAAGTTTTTATAGGGATTGATAGTAAATATTATCATTTCATTTTCTTGTAAGTAAATATATGAATTAAAAGGATCAGAATAAGTGCCCGTGGAGAGAGGTGGTTAAAATCCATATGTGTGAATTCATATTTCTAAAAGGAAATGATCCATATAACTTTGTTTTGCATAACAGAAAGGTTAGCAAACAAATTTCTGAAATTACAATGGGGAAACCTAGACAAGGACAATAATTACAAAATAGAATCATTCTCTTCTGGATAATAACATGTTTTTAGTAACCACAGGTAAATATCATGAGTGTGAATTATAAGCAGGAAATCATTGCAAATATGTCAGGATATTCAGGCATCTGATAATATTGCAGGTTGACTCTGTATGCTTATCATCTGCCTTCACTAGTATGGCTCTCAGCCATTAAGTTGAGTATCCATCTCAATTAAGTCATATCTAGATTTCAGCTCTCTTTGGATTACATAATTTACATATTCGAATGTCTCTTATTAGAATATTTTGATTTTCACTTCTTTCCCCAAAGTTCTGGACACAGTTTTCAATCCTACATCAATGTTTTTGAGGATGAAAGAGATTAAAAAATAAGTTTCAGTACAATTAATCACAACACTCATTCTCCCTTCCTCTCTCATCTGTCTATCTGTCTGTATCTCTCCCCTCCCTCCAATGTCATGGGATCTTGTGGCTTACCCCTCCACTCATATCTAGCAATTATAGTATAAGTTCTCTTAACTGACCTTGACTTAAGACTCACCAGGTTAGACAGAGTCTTCATTCTGTGAAACTCTGACTGGGGCCTCTAACAGCCTCTAAATAAAATGTTAGAGGTATCTGTCAGTATGCATAGCCTTCAGTTCTCATTAGCTGAGTTGTCAGTTATGTGTATGTCGCAACTGTCAGTTGTGTTCTCAAACCTGTTTTTGCCAATTAGTAATGCAAGTAAATAATTTAATGAAAGATTTCCCTAATCAAAGAAATATAAGTCTAAAAAATAAGTTATAATTTCTATGAAAACCAAGTTAAATACTCTGGAAAGTTGTTTAGAAAAATAAAAAGAAGTATTGTTGAATTAGATGCGGACAAGACAACCATAAAAATTGGAAAAACAATTCAAAAAATTTAGAAGGATTCTGTATTCAGAATGTTTCTCATGTTTGCTGATGAATTCTGTCTACCTTAAAGAAACTGGAAATCAAAAAGTTTGCACTATCAGTGTGATTTATGGAGAACTCTAATCAGTGAATCTACGCTCAAAGAAAAAACCTTCAACATTAAAATATCCATGACTATTTTAAGAATAAAATGTTTAAGACATATATATTTTTTTATAATTTGCTGATTTAACTAACTTTTTCAATTAATGGTCGAACTCTAGGTGCTAATTGAATTGGAATAAAGAGCATCTATTATAAAATTTTATTACTATTATTTTACTGCTATTGCTACTGCTACTAGTATTATTTTCAATTAAGGATTAAAAAAAGTCATATGTCCAGTTGAATTTGAATGCCTAAATTTCTGTTAATATAAATGGAGCTTTACGAGGAGGTCAGTTGGTAAAGAGATAATTTCGTCTACTGAAGTTTCAGTTGGGGAGATATTGTGATGGCCCTGAGCAGACTGAAGAACTTTAGCCAGTGATAAATCCTTGTGAGGGCACTAGCAAGGAAAGGAGATAATTGATAGTAGAAGAAATGAAGAGAAAGAGGAGGCAGGAGAGTGTTCAAGTCAGTCATCACTTTGGCATTTGACCTAGGTTCTAGTGGCAGCTCCATACTACCTGAGGGTAACTTATTCACTGTCGATGCCTAGAAGTGTACAAGAAGTATAGCTCCCTAAACATGGGATTATAGATCATACTATGTAAAGAGTGAGTACAGGTACTATGTCATTTAAGCAGATGTAACATTGGGTTTGACTACATTTCAAATATTAGAGCTTTAATAGTGTACACATAAATTTATGTTTAAATTATTAAACACTAAACATAAAATGTAAAAATGTACAGTTAACTCTGAACAATATGATGTGCTATTTAAAGACTTCCAGAATTTCATTAGATTTTATTCCAGTTTGAAAGCAGTGAGAAAACATTGAAGGGAGCCATTATGCTGTGGGTTTTCTTTCAATCACTTAAACATCTGGAATATGTTCTCCATGAAAGAGCAAACCAAGTTTAATTTTATTATGACTAGTTTCACGCAGGCAGAATTTTCACTTCATTAAATGTTGTCTGATTGTAGATATAAAAGTACTGATTTAGAATGATATATTAGTCCGATATGTCAAGTTTTTCTTTTTATGAAATTAAATTGCCTGTCAGATCTTTGCTTATCCTTATGTAGTTAAAGATTTGTTCAAATATAGATTTAGAATTTTAGTCATCATCCACCTTATAACAAATGAAAGGGATTGTCTATTAACAAGGGAACATTATTTTTAAGGGAGCAGTTTTAACTTGATAGTCAAGGGACAATTCCACAAGGCGCAGAAGGGTCAACTGGGAGGATTGGAAAAAGTTGATCAACTTCTACTTTGAGGGCCTCCAATTCCTCTATGGAACTATGAAGCAACAGACCTGGCATAGAACTGGCACACAACAAATATTCACTGAATGTAAACAGGGATTGAGGGTAAGTGGGAACTTTTGAATTAGTTATGATAGAGGCTATGAGAAGGAGTCCACCTAAGAAACTCACGAGGTTGCCAGACAGTATTGAGGACCCTTATGAGGTCTGAGGACCCCCATTTTCTAGCAGAACCAATCTGCCCAATTTTCTCTTTCTCCAACAGTGTTCCATGCACCCATGGAGAAAACAGTTGATCCATGTTTGGGATTTTGTCAGGTGGTTGTGGCACAAACACTTAGGAACAAGGGAGTTGAAAGTTTAGCTGGAACGTGACTGAAAAACAGATTGTGGAATCTAAACTGGATTAGGAAGAAAGTGAAGCAACATAAGATTTGTATACAGAGAGACAGTAAGGGGAGTCAGTGGTGGAGGTCCAAGACAATCCGAGAGAGACCACAGCAGGAGTAGCTGCACAGGCAAGCAAGAGGGAGAGGAGATGCTGGGATTCTTGAATTAGCTCTGCCATTTATGAGTTTATTTATAAATTGTGTGATGTGATATATATTTATATAGATATATGTAGGGATATGTAGATATCGCATATGTAGTGTTTTATTTATATATTAATGGTGCTCTTGAAAGTCTGAAAAACTCCCCTTCTTGGAATATTAAACATTGTTCCTGAAACCTCAACCTGTTAATTCAGAGGTCCTATCTCACTTACCAGAAATTCAAAATTAGTAGGGTCTCATGATAGAATGTCGTTCCAAGGCTATATACACTGTGCAAAGAAATTTCCATTATGGATACTACTTAAAAAGTGGAGTGACTAACTGCATTTCTCTCTACAATGAAATCTTACTGAATG